CGGTGGGGGTGAACGTAATGACCAGTGGATGAATCCGTTTCATTATAAGTGGCTATGAAAAGATTGATGATGCGAAGGTACTACACCTGAATAAAACAGAACTTTACCAGTTTTTAAGATGAATAACAGAGGTATCAGGGTTTTTTTTTCTTTTGTTTTCAGATGTCAGCATATTCAATTCCTCCACCGCCGTATGCGCAACCCCCGCCGATCCCGCCACCACCACTAGCACCGAATCCAATCCTGCCCCCTCCACCATTACCACCCATGCCGTCAGCAATGCCACTGCCACCTCCACCTCGGTTACCTCTGCAACCTTCACAGCCACCGCCACCTGCACCGCCGGACACACCAAATCCAAATCCAGTGGCCACTCATCTCACCGCTCATCCAAGTACATCAACCATGCCTACTGTAGCGCCTCCACCAGCTCCGCCACCGCTGCCTCCAGCCAAACGAATCATACGACCCCTGTTAGTTCATTTTTTTTTCGCATTGTACTTTTTTGCAGTTTAAAAATGCCCCCGGAATTGCAATTCTCGTAGATGAGATATTTTTCAAGAACTGGCTGGCGGCAGCCTGTGCTTCTGATGTGCACTAAAAGATTTTTGGACGAAAATTTTATGCAGGGTTTTAAAAACTTAGCGAATTTATGAAAAACGATTGGATGGAAATTGTCGACAAAATCTTTGCCAGCTTCTAGTTGCTATTGGCATTTGCTTCGTGTTGAGTTGTTTCTGAATTTTTAAAACTCTGCATAATTTGTTTGATTTGTCAATCTGGAAAAAATACTGCAGAAAAATCGCTTTATTTTTGGTTCTTCCCCTGATGTGTAGAGTTTTATTGGAAAAAAATGAATAAGATGGGGATTTTGATTTTTGGCTTTGTGCAAAAGTAACTGGTGTCAATTGTAGTATGGAGAATCGTTGTTTTGTTTTTTTGCTTGGCAGAACCGGCCCTTCTACGATTTAGTGATTTATTTTGATGGTAAATTGGTGCTGTTGCATGTAAGAGCAAGAAATTGCTTTCGATTTTATCTAACAGAAACCCAAATCCAGTAACTGCCACTGAGTATTTTCTGTTTTAAAAAGATATCATATTGGCCTCTTAAAGTTTACGCGATTTTTCGTTGCAGATGAATTTATGAAAGGATTTTGATTCGGAATAAATACATGAAGTGACTAGTTCATTTTAGTGGTTTTTATCACTGTCGGATTAACTTGCATGGAACTGTTTTGCAGTGTTTTGAACAAACGCCTGAAGCTACGGGAGGATCCCGAGAACTGGGGCTGCTCAACAGTGGAAAAGTATGAAATTAAAACGCAAGTCGGCGAAGGTACATACGGACAGGTGTATAAAGCTCAAGATAAATTCACAAGTAGGTTTATTACGCAGTTAACACAGTTTGTGCGGTACTGTTTTTAGTCCAGCAGCAGAGGAATAAAGAGAAGCTGGGCTGGTATTGTGACAGCGATGATAGATAACAGATGGACGAAACAAATGTTGAATGGTGCACAGATACCAGAAAAGTGAAATGGTGTGTTAGAAGAATATTGGGGAATTCTTAGGCCATTTCGCCTACCGAATGATGGTAGTCGATGGAAAAATTGCACTCCAAAGTATGAATTTTAAGAGCTGCTCCAGGATCCAGTTATCACAGTTCAGCATAGAGGTTTGTAGCCTAGCTTCGCTTGATTTTTGGGTGTGTCCTGGTATCACGGTACCGGCAGGCGGACACCATTTAAATGGATTTTTGATTTTTCTTTCACTGAAAATGGTGTTTTTAAAGAACACATTGTTTCAGATGAGGTGGTTGCACTCAAAAAAGTGCGACTGGAGAATGAGAAAGAAGGTTTTCCAATAACGGCCGTTCGTGAAATCAAGATACTTCGTCAGCTGAATCATAAGAATGTTGTAAGATTGATAGATATTGTTACTGATAAGCAAACAGCTGCTGATTTCCGGAAAGATAAAGGTACATTTTCATTGTTTTTTTTTAGAAACTTCACTTTTTTATGGTTAAAACACTTATGTTGAGTTTTCTTGATCGTATAGTAGACTGGTGTGAGTGCGGGTATATAATTAAAACAGCGGAACACTTCTTCCGCAGTTGCAGTATAAGTCGAAGGAGTTGCACTAGCTACAGTCGACGTTACTCGGGAGAAAGTCGCCGCCGGATCGCAGTAGGATAAAACCTTTTTTTGAAGTTCGAGGGCTCATTATATATACATATATATATGTAATATATACACATATACGTGTATGTATGCATTACATTTAATGCCAAAATCGCATATGGTGGGAAGAAGCTGTAAGTCACAAATAGCATGGTAACAAAGCCGAAGATTGTTGACGTCGTAACAAAGGCCCAGCAACGTTACCCAGGCTCTCTGTGGACCTTTTGATCTGCTCGATCAGCCTGTAAATTCGACAGAATCATAATTCAGTGACTTTCGGGCATGGCTTTTTCGGAGCTGATCAATACATAAAGGGAGGAGGAGAGGTTGGGGGAGCGGGGACCATTCCCTTACAGTTTTTTGTAATTTACATTATTTTAGCAGTAGGATTTTAAACAAGTGCGTTTGCAGGAGCCTTCTATCTGGTATTCGAGTACCTTGATCACGATTTAATGGGCATCTTGGAAAGCCAGTTTGTGGAATTCACGGATGATCAGATTGCCTCGCTTATGAAGCAGCTAATTTCCGGGTTGGAATATTGTCATTCGATTGGTTTCTTACATCGCGACATAAAATGCTCAAATATTCTTCTGAATAACAAGTGAGTTTTTATTATCCGCTCGAAATGCTGTCTTTTCTAAATACTGTGGAAACTGAGGCATAAATAGTATGACCAAGACTGCTTGAGCAGTCTCTGGGGGAATTTTATGGTGGTAGTTTTATCGGGTTGCACTTTACTACGTT